CTCCCACAAAACACACAACAGAAACACAAAATTTCTCTCTCTCTCTCTTATTCAGAAAATCAAAAATCCGCTCTTTGAGTTTGAGCAAATGGATTGGTTCTCATGGCTCTCGAGAACAAACCTTGAACCTTCTCTCATCCACGAATACGGACTCTCCTTCTCCCAAAACGAGCTCGAACACGAAGACATTTCTTACTTCAACCACGAATTTCTCCAGAGCATGGGAATCTCCATCGCTAAACACCGTCTCGAGATTCTCAAACTCGCTCGTCGTGATTCTCGGAACCGATCTCCTCCTCTCACCTCTCGATCCATCTCCCGATTCGTGATTGCGATTAGGAAAACCGGTAAATGTTTCTCCGACCACTTACGCGCCTGGATCCGCCGCGAAGAGTCGTCGTCGTCGTCTCGAGCTCTGGTTTTGGTGCCGACGAAGAAGAAGAGTAAAGGAGGATTTTTGAAGAGGAACAAGAGATCTGTAATAATGCCAAGCAACAACGTAAATGGCGGATTCGATAAGCAAGAGAGGTTGTTATTGACTAATGGGACTCCTTGTAGACTCGATAGCTTCTCAAGTCCCATGGTTTTCGATTACAGTTTCAACGAGGATCAACTTTACGCGAAGAATTGCGAAGATCTTGAAGAAATCAAATGGGATTCCATGTTTCAGAATCTAAAACCCACTTGAAATCTTCCAACTTTTCTTCTTTATTCGAGTCAGATTTTATGGTGAAAGATGAGATTTTTAGGGTTCTTCCACCACCATGGATTGAAATTTTTTGCCTTTTTTTTGCGTGTTTACTTTTTGGAGTGTGTGATTGATTATGTGTTGTTGTTAGACTAATTAATTTTAAAATTAGGATTTTGAGTGGAAGTGTCAGTGTCAGGTGTGTATGTGTGTGGGTCATTTTGTAATGAGTCTTATCTCTACATTCTTTGCTTTATCCCTAAGTCTCTGTTCCAGTCAAAACTAGCTTTACACCTTTTTACTCACTGTCTTTCTAGAAAAAGCTCTTTACACACAAAACATTAAAGCCTCTCTGATCTTCTTACTTTACTCTTCTTGAGTTTGCCGGGAAGATCTTGGACCGTATAGAGACCGATAAACCGGTCTTATCCTAATAGTCAAAATCACGCCGAGTATCGCTGCAACCCCACATAAGCTAGCCAGGATCAAGAAAGTCAGTCTGAAACAGTCCGGTCCATAACAAGTTGAGCTACCTTGTCTAATAGCCTCAGCATCATACACATAACCAGCTACTAAACCGGAGAAGAGAGATGCACCAATTGGGTTTCCTAGGATCATGAAACTGTAGATAATGCCGAAATGTTCGAGTCCAAAGAGCTCTGAAGCTGTAGGAACCATGAGAGAGTATTGAATTCCGTAGCAAGTGCCTAGAAGCGCGGTTGCGGGATAGAGAGTGGCGGATGAAGAGAGAGCGTAGAGAATGAATGCAAGTACCATTAGAATCTGCGCTATTGTCATCCACACGGTTCTCGGCATGGCTCTTGACTTGACAAAATGCTCTGAGATAGCTCCTGAGCTAAGCCGGCCAACTAAGTTGAAGAAACTAAAAAGGCATAAGAGGACTGTTGTGTTATCAACGCCAATTGCAATCCCAACCTGAGCCAAGTTGTTTAACACTGTGACTCCAGAGCCAATTCCAAGGAAGTAAAGAAACCATAGAAGCCAGAAATCTGCTTTAAAGAAAGCTTGAATCAATGTAAAA